TGGCAGTTCGAGTTTAAGAAAATGTTGCAGGTTCCATTTGTTGAGTAACCTTTTGCTGTGGGCGTGACTGTGGATCTTTTACGCGATGACTCCTTGATCAGTTGTGCAATCCGCCTGATGAAAAAGCCAAGATTGCTGTCAAATCCAAAGACTGCAGTCATGAAGCCTTCATATGGGTTGAAACTGCCTGTTCTGACACCTTCTTCTGCAATTGCAATCATAGCATTCAGGATCCTCCGCTGATACGGGTCCAAGTGATGATTGTCCAACTCAAGTGAATTCCTAACAGTTGATGGAATCACGTCAAACTTCTGTCCAAAACGGGCGCCGATCATTTGACAATCATCGCGGTCACATTCCAGTGGGTTGTGAATTTGATTGCAGGCAGCAGTCAATGAAGCCATCTTCCTGCCATCTGAAGCGCTCAAATGTAGAATAGAAAAAGGACCCTGTGTAGGCTGGAATTGCATTTTACAGCCCATCTGTGAGTGTAGTTCAATAACTTTAGAAGTATGTAATTCAGCAAAAGAAAGATCACTCAACATCCCTGAACTTTCAATTTCACGCTGCATACACAATGTGCCACACATGGTTCTGAAAGCTTTTGTGTCAATGCTACGTGCAGTCCTCACCAGGTGCAAGCGTTCACGATAGTCCAAACAGCCCCGAATAGCTTGAGCTTTCTCCTCCAACAGTTCGTTTTCATAAGATGCAGGGATTGCATTCATGACTGCCATGGCTGTGTAAGGTTCTATACCTTCAACACTCATCATCGATTCTGCCATCTCTTCTTGCAGCATCTCATTTGGCGTGGAGGATGACCAGTTTTCCCTGTTGAGGAATGCAACCATATGGTCGTGACACGCTTTTCGCAAGAACTGTTTTCCCCATGGGATGAGCGTGAGTGCAGGTTCCACGCAGTTGTGCATAAATGCCCATTTGCTCAATGGCCGGATTTCAGCATTCAATAACATTATTCCCGAAAGCATTGCGAAGGGTTCTTCCGGAAAATCCTTTGAACACTGACACTTCGACACTTACACTTCGACACTCACACTGACACACTTACACTTCGACACTCACACTGACACACACACACACTGGAAGAGCGAAAGCATCCAAGTGCGAAGTATGCCAGGGCGAAAGCATCCAAGTGCGAAGTATGCCAGGGTCAAAGTATGCAAGTGTGAGTATGCAAGCATGCAATGACTATGCAAAGGCAAGTGTGAGTATGGAAAATATGGAAAAACTAGCACGGGAGATGTCCTAATGAAAAAACATTTCCCCACTTTATAAATTCTCTCTTAAAGGCGGAGTGTGGGACGAACAGCGTCAACCGAAAGTGCAACCCTCTGCGGAGATCGTGCGTGTGGAGTGCGCGAAATGCAGGCGAGAGTGCGATTTGTCCGGTCCGCGCGCAACCCTCTGCGGAGATCGTGCGTGTCGAGTGCGCGAAATGCAGGCGAGAGTGCGATTTGCCGGCTGTGCGCGCAACCCTCTGCGGAGATCGTGCGTGTCGAGCGCGCGAAAGCAATCTGTGGAGCTGGAAGCTGAGAACTGGCGACTTTGTAGTACAACTTTAGTACGCAGAGTAGCTGGGGAGCTGGAAGCTGAGAACTGGCGACTTTCTAGTACAACTTTAGTACGCGGAGCAATCTGTGGAGCTGGGAGCTGAGAACTGGCGACTTTGTAGTACAACTTTAGTACGCAGAGTATCTGGAGAGCTGGAAGATGAGCACTGGCGACTTTGTAGTACAACTTTAGTACGCGGAGTAGCTGGGGAGCTGGAAGCTGAGAACTGGCGACTTTCTAGTACAACTTTAGTACGCGGAGAAATCTGTGGAGCTGGGAGCTGAGAACTGGCGACTTTGTAGTACAACTTTGGTACGCGGAGTAGCCGGGGAGCTGGAAACTGAGAACTGGCGACTTTCTAGTACAACTTGAGTACGCGGAGCAATCTGTGGAGCTGGAAGATGAGCACTGGCGACTTTAAGTACTACAACTGTAGTACGCGGAGTAGCTGGGGAGCTGGAAGATGAGAACTGGCGACTTGGTAGTACAACTTTAGTATGCGGAGTATCTGGGGAGTGGGAAGATGAGAACTGGTGACTTGGTAGTACAACATTAGTACGCGGAGTATCCGGGGAGCTGGAAGATGAGAACTGGCGACTTGGTAGTACAACTTGAGTACGCGGAGTATCTGGGGAGCTGGAAGATGAGAACTGGCGACTTGGTAGTAGAACTTTAGTACATGGAGCAATCTGTGGAGCTGGAAGATGAGAACTGGCGACTTTGTAGTACAACTTTACTACGCGGAGGTGACTTTCGAGAACACATACACACACAGACATAGATACACACACACAGAGACCCACACACTGCCTCAACACACTCGACTTAACACTTCACACTGAACACTTATAACACACTTAACAGATAACTCGCACTCTGACTTCCTACGTGATGAAAAATGCTTTCGGGCCACTCGTCGTCTAGTTTTTGCTGACTTCATTGTATACATGACTTGTTGACTCAGTGCTATGCCTGCATCAAGCACTTCACAGATTTCCAGACTGCTGACTTTTGAACCCCCACGTGCACATGAAGCAAAGTCCTTCACTGCAAGGCCACCAAAACAATAAGGGATAGCCATGACAATTCCTGCAGCTGTGACGTTCGGAAAAGTTTCAGGATCTCTGCCGATGAGATTTGCCACTTCCTCAGTGCATCTGACAATGTAATAAGATGACATCGTCAATGCAGTGCCTGCTTGCCTTTCAATTGCCCTGCAGATTCCAGAAATGGCTTCCAAGTTTGAAATGACATCAGGAAGCGAGTTTTTGTATAGCAGTGCCGATCTGATGACAACTTTCAAAGGCATGAGTATCTCAATCCCCTGAGCAAAATATCTGGAAAGATAGATGAACTTGTTTGAACTCAAGACTGATTTGGTCCGGTCAACAGTGTATCCGAGTTCAATGTATGTTCTCTCAAGCAGTGCAAAAATCTTTGCAGCATCATTTTTGGCGAGACCCCCTCTGTAGAACAAGGCAAAGAGGATGTCGTCAATGTTCGTCAAAGATTGGGCATGAGATGACACTATATCTGGAAATTCGGCATTCAATCTGCGAAAAAATCTTGCAATGATATGCCCATGCCTCATAGAGGATCCAAAGCCTTCTTGTCCTTGCATCATGCTGTCGCGCCAAGGCGTCTCAAGGACAATTTTCTCCCTGTCAACACGCAAGTGCATATTGTTCCAGATATGCTCAGTGGCTGATGCATCCGCATCATGTGGCTTGAAATAGCTCATGAATTGCTTTTCCCATGACCTGACGTGGAACCTTGATTCTGATTCACTCCATGCTTTGAGATCATGAGACAACAACAGGATGTGAACATCAGTCTGAAGAAGACGACTAATCTTCTCATACAATCTGTTGATGCGGATGGGCGAACGACCTTGCGTCACAGTGGGTTGCCAGCCTACTTGGTCATGCCGATTCCGCTCCTGTGTGACTGAATCTTCCTTGAGACTCGAGTCAAGGATCCTGTCATTCTTTTACCTGACCCTGCCTTGATCTCTTTCAATTCACCTGTGACGTAATCATGAATTGAAAAACTGACATCATTTGCTTTCGCTGCTTCAAATTTGCCTGCTAAATCATTGACACATGTCAAGTCAGCTAACCTCATGATTGCATCAACGTACAAATATTGGACTCCATCAAATTCAGCAATGTATCTTCCGTTCTTCAGAGCTGCTGCAATTTCTGCGCCACGCATACCAACAGACTCTTCTGGGATGTCGGTGACACTCTTTGAAAGTATGTGCCACAAAGTTCCATAGACGAAAAATCTGAGCTCATTGTGGATACGAACACCCATGGGAACTTCATCAATCTTCAAGAGACCTAGCTGCTCACGTTCGATCAAATCACAGACATGTGACTTGAATTTTACATGAATGTCGTGAGTAGCTGGAGCTGCAAAAGTCGTCTCAGGCAACCTTTTCTTGATTGAGATGAATGCATAGAGGTCATCTCTTGCTGCCTCCATCAAAAAGGAGCTTATTGGGTGAATGACTTTTTCTGTCATATTCAGAGCACGCGAAATCATTGAATCAATGGCAATTTCAGAATTTGGCAGGATGGAAATATATCCAAGCAAGTCCATCTTCAGTTGATCAGACTTTTGTAACAATGTTGAACTCAATCTGAGATGCTGTTAGATCCTTGAGTCGTGCTTCCTCCACTACTTCTGCTGAATATGTCCTGTTCCAGTCATTGATGTCAACAGAAATATCATATGACTCATTCTTCTCATCGGGCAATTCAGTAGGGTGACTTTTCACAAAGATCGCATGCACAAGTGACTTCACAGCCCCAACCAAATGTGGAACTAAAGCCCCATCCTGCAAGGTGACCAGTCCATGCAACAAACACATGATGATCTGAGGGTCCTAAGGGTCCTGAAATGGACAAACTTTGGAAAATCAGTGGATTCCTGTATATACATTTTGACAGGGGCCTTTACTCCTTGACATCTCTCACTTTGAGGTGGGGCCACTGGGTTGGGGGGGAGCCAAACGTCCATTCTGAGCCTTGAAATCCCAAAGCAAACTGGAAGTCTGCCTGCTCGACCCATCTGCTGTGGTTGGGTGCTGATGAGAATGAGATTGCTCCTGAAGACACGAGACTCCTAGAGACCTGATACGATAAAAACAACCAGGGCCCGTGCCTATTGATCTATTTTACTTTAGTAGCCCCTTAAAATGACCCCTGAAAGGTTATAAGGGGTGTCCGTTAACCAACTCTTGGGGGCACAGGTATGCACACCTTCATGCACTTCACTTCTATATCAAAAATCACATCTAGACTTAAACATCTAACCTTCAGCCCTTCGGCCACCTACAAACTTTATGGGGCACCCACCCGGCGACTGCCCAACTCAACGTGTTCCCGCCCTTCACACGAAGGCCAACTGTGGAAAAAAGTAGCCTTGTTCCTCTACGGCATAGACCTTCACATCCCAGAAGACCTTTTCGCCTCAAAGAGCAGGGCAAAAAATGAGCCAGACCATCCATGGGACTGGAATAGTTACCTATAGATGGATGGACCAGAAGTGGGGTAGTTGTATACAGATAAATGTCCATTCCATATATGGCTGGTCTGGGTGATGTCTTTTTTGGCACGCAAAGTCCTATAAATACAAGGAGTATCTCCAACAGCACAGTTCTGTTTGATCTTGGTAGCCCAGGTCCCTAGGCCCGTTGTCATGAGAAACTCACGAGTGTTGCACATGGGATCAAGTTCACCTGCTATGTTGTGTTGAGGAAGATGAATTGACCCAACCCGACCCGACTTGACCCGACCGGTGGGATCCGAGCATCGTGAACATGTGAGTTCTTTTATGTTCTTTTCCATGTGCGAATGCCGGAAGAAAGAATCCGTGGCTGCGGCAATTCATCTAAACATGCAAGGACTGGACCCACTGTCAGCGTTTTCATCTAACTGCGCAACCAAAGCCTGAACTTGGGCAGGGAACTCTTCAGGTATAGGTGGGTGATAGAACCAATTGGTTTAAACATGTCTGGAAGAGAGCAGAATTTAGGCCCTTTGGGGACGGTTTTGGGATCCGCACGCGCCAAGGCGCCAAACACTGTAAATAAATGCTGCAAAAACTGCGTAAATACCAACGTCTTTGAGGTGCGTGTATGCAAAAACACTGTAAATACCGCTTTTTTTGCACAACGATCAAACAACATCGTAACTACCACGGTTTTGAGCACTTGCACCAAACTACGCAAATAACGTGGTTTTGAAGCGCTTTTTAAGCCTAGAGCAGCTGAACACGTCGGTATTTACGGTGTTTTCGGCAGACGCCTCTTCAGGAACAACGGTGTTTAGGACCGGCAGCGTTCCGCACGCGCGACCAAGCAAACACTCTGCGTTTCAGAGGTCTGGGACTCGGAAGAACACTGTCCGTCCATGTTTAATGCGGGTTTCATGAGGCAAATCCTCCTGAACATCCAAAACCTATCCCAAACGAATCAGCCACAAAGCACCAAACAAAATCGGAGGTCAGGGTATCAACGAGTTGATGAGATCGGACTCTCTCACCGCTGGATGCCCCGAGCCCTTCTTTCGGGCTTCGGTCATGCTGCGGCGAAGGACCTGCGCGAGGGCGGTCCGCTACGGCCGGGGCTGAAAGAAACACGTAGGGTTGGCAAATGAGGACCTTGAAGAGAGGGTGTGATTCTGGCCTCAAAACGCCCAGCGAAAATTTACCAAAAAAGAAAAACATGGTGTAAAAACAAGAAACCCACAACTCAAAGAGATAAAACAATCAATTTCTCTGTCAAAAGGAACTAAATCATTTCTCCTGCAGGTTCTCAGGACCAAAATGGCATCTTTTGCTGTCGACCAGGTACCGTGATTGCCCCAAAAGCCATCGGCGGAACCAAAAGCAAGAGTTTTTTGGCAGCAGCGTTCCGTTCCAACTTGATGTCAGTGGCGCGACAAGTTCAGTGAAGAGCCGCCAAGCAAACGAAGACAAACCTGGTGTTTAAGGCTGGCCGACATGCTGGTCATGCACAAATGTTGTGGAAGTGTCTACCGAAACCTGAAAACGTCAGAAGTTTTGAAACAAAAACACATTCACAGGTGAGGATGCTGATCCCAGCATATCCCAGCATTTTGAAGTTATGTGTCATCCATGTCAGACCTTGGATTTGCTGTCCAGGAACCGGGAACCAAAAAAACAAGGTTAGGGATGGTTAGGGGGATTTATCGAACTGCAAGACCAGGAGATCCGTGTCAGACCATTCATTAATGAGGAAAACCACAAGGTAGAAAATATGTATGAACCCGAAGATTCGGAACATCAATAAGTTATCCACCCGAAAAACCACCCAAAACCAGACCGCTGGCAACACGGAAGGATGCCTGAAAGCCATAGCGGTAGTCGCGTTGCCAGACTGGAATGGTGGTGGGATCCCGATCTTCCTCCACGAACCTGGGGGGAAGGCGAGGGCGGAAAGGGGGGAGCGAGGCGAGGGCGGAAATCGACCCGTTTGCCGGAACCGTTCGACAATTCAACAAGGATGGTGGGGCCTGGTGTTGCAATCCACAAACACTTAGTAAAATAACACCAGCATTGACCGCACATAACAACTAACTCAAACGGGAGTCGCGCATCTTGTCCTCTAAGCCCAGCGAACCCATGAGACAAGTGGGGAGACAAGGCAGCAGCGGCACAGCACCGGCAAACCAAAACGGCCACTACACAAACAAACAAGCGGGGAGAAATGGTAGTGTGGTAGCAGTAGTAGTCGTAGTCGTAGTCGTAGAAGTAGTAGTAGTAGTAGTAGTAGTAGTATAGTAGTAGTAGTAGCAGTGGCCGTCGTAGCAGTATGTAGCAGTAGCAAGCATCAGTAGTAGTTAGTGGTAGTCAGTACTAGCAAGTAGTAAGTCGTAAGCAGAAACTAGGTGACGACGCCTTCTGGCGCCTGTGGGCGGCGTGTTACATCTCTCCTGAAACCCCCTGAGGAGGACCATTTCAAGAAAATTGAGTAAAAATGGGGTCGTCAATTTGGACATTAGCTTTTGTTATTTCAAGTACCTGAGTAATAAGAGTTTGTTTCCATCAGCAATCAGGATAAATTGGGATCAATCATCTTAAGCATGAGACACAATGCTCAGAGAGAAGGACTCCCTTCCACGAAATGATTGGACTCAGTCTTGGTGTAAATTCTCTTTGTAGCAACATGGCATGAAAGCTGTGATATTCTCTCTTAAAAAAGCCATAGTCTGCTCTGTCGGTTTTCAAACGGTCCCAATTGGTCAATTCTTTCACCAAAGTGCTCAGCGGGAAAACCGCCATACGCTGCTTTTCACTTCCAGCGGCAAGCCTTCGACAAGTGCACCAGGAACTCTTGTCCCGTGACATCTCCATCAGCTCTGAGGTTTTTGCGCCAGAGCCATTGGTACACACGGCGTTCCAACGTTGCATTCATGCAACTGACGCCTTTCATTTTTCCTTTTCTTTTTACCTGCTTCGGCATGAAGCGCTTCAGGCTTCCCCAAGCAGCATCGATGCACTGCGTGCCTCCGACTTTACTCAGCTTGGGCCGAGGAGCACGTCGAAGCTGCACTGCGTATTGTCGTTGCTGGTGTGACACCTGAGCCACAGGGATCTTCAGCTTCTTGGCAAAGGTTCGCCAGCTCGGAGCACCATCCGAGTAGATTGCTGTGTTCTTGTCTGCTCCAATGTACTTTGCAAGGCCTGACCTGTCAATCTCACGAATCGATTCGACAGGCGGCCGAGCCTTGGGAAGAGTAACCTTCGGCGTCATGAACTTCACCACCATCAAGCCACCCCGCTGGATGGCGCCGACGACACGCACATGGACTGGGTAAGACTTCAAACAGGCCCGTTTCTTCTGCTGCAAATCTTGGATCTGGTCCGCGTAGAAGATGTTGTCAGGCTTCACAAAGAAGCGGCCGAGATACTGCATTATTGGAGAGTATTACATATCAGGCACAGGCGCCTGGAGGCGTTACCAGCAACTACCCAGTAATAAGTAGCAAGTAAGTAAGCAAGCAAATAAGTATATAAGCAAGCAAGTAGGCAGGTAGGTAAGTAGGCAGGTTGGTTGGTTAGTTACTCAGTTAGTTGGCTAGTTAGTTAGTTAGTTAGTTAGTTACTTGCTTACATACTTAACTAGTTAATTAGGTAGAGGTAGTAGTAGTAGTAGTAGTAGTAGCAGAGGCAGTAGTAGTAGCAGTAGTAGGTAGTAGGTAGTAGGTAGTAGGTAGTAGGTAGTAGGTAGTAGTTAGTAGTTAGTAGTTAGTAGTTAGTAGTTAGTAGTTAGTA